TCTAATAGAAGGATAAAAATAGATAGAATTGTTAAAATTAATAAAAAAAAATCGTGATATTAAAAAAATTCAGCGAAAACGTGAAGATTTTAGATTAAAAGAACGTAACAATGATAGAATTACAAACAAAATGTTATGACTAGATTCTAATATAAGAAAAATTGAAAATGTAATTAATTTAAAAAATATGAGAAAACAATTGAAAGATAACATGATTAAAGAAACTAACAGAAAAGCAGCTCGTTTAAATATGGATAAGCGTTTAAATAATCCAGATATAAAAAGAGCAAATATAGAAGCTGCTAAAATTAGCATGAAGAAACGTTTGAATAATCCAAATATAAAAAGAGCAAATATAAAAGCTGCTAAAGTTAGTATGAAGAAACGTTTGAAAAATCCAAATATAAAAAAAGTGTATAATGAAGCTGCTAAAGTTAGCATGAAAAAAATACAAAAAGAATTCGAACTACGAAAAGCCTATCAAAGTGCGAACAAAGATCGAATGTTAAAGAGAAGGGCTCCTTCAAATAGTAGCATACAGTTAAGTCGTAGAATGCGTTCCTGCCATATATCTTCATACAGGTTACGTGAAAAGCAAAGATTAAATGCGAAGAGGCAGAAATGGGAAACATTACTGTCCGAGTTTAATTTAAGAAAAACCCAAGGCTTATCAGAGACTTGTGTTTCTTGTCATCGTTTAAGATTACCTAGTAGTACGATAAATTGTCGAAATGAACTACTAAGACATCTTAATATGAATATTGTTCTAAATGATAACCAAAGTGTATTCGCATGTAATAGTTGTTATAATCACTTAAAAAAATCTAAAGTTCCACCATTATACACCGGAAATGGATTTGAATTAAATCATGTGTGGAACACATGATTTAATTCAGTTAAGGAGGGAGCTAAATTAAATTGAAAGATAAATGGTTTCATTGCGATTACCATTTATGAAAGTATTTAAACTGTTCGTTGCTTTCGTCACTTCATAAAATAGTCTGACATTTTCTTTTTTCATAATAAAGTACATTACATTAGCTTTAATTTAAAATATATATAAAAGTGTCAGACTTTCCGCAACACTTTCAAAAGTTAAGTTGAAAAAGTTAATTTTTTGTGAAAAAGTTGTCATTTTAAATCCCCCCCTGTGGGCAGATAAAGGGTCAGATTTACAAAAAAAATATACCAAATGATAAGTAAAGACATCAAGCATCTATATAAAAAAAAATTATATTGATATGTTCATTTTTGAAAAAGTTACGGCACATTTTAGTAAAAAAAATTGAAAAAATTTCGAAAATAAGAGATTTTTAAATTTGTAATTTCGAAATGGGGGAAACCATTTACGGGGAACGGGGGAATTTTTTTCAATTTTTAGGGGTAATGTCTTTGACTAGATACGAATTGTGATCTTTTGACGTATCGTTGAAAGAAATCCGTCCGGGGAGAGCTGAAAAAAAGTGGTAACAGACACGAAAAAAAAAACACATCATAGTAAAACCAATACCTTCTCAGCTTCGCATCGAAGCTAATAATTACGCATCTTATAAGCCAAAAAATTGTACAAAATTCTGTATAACTGTATGATAATTTTATTTTTTAAAAAATTCTAGTAAATATTATCTATTTCGCATTAGAACATTTTTATTCACAGGCGATGCAGTATAATATTATTATTGAAATAATCATTTATATCTTATATATATAAAACGTAATAATAATTATTATTCTAAATCTTTATTTTACTTAAGACAAATATTTTCTATACCACTCCAGGCTGGCGCTCAACCGCGTCTCTCTCGATTCAGCCGTCCAACTATTAATATGACAATCGGTTTTCTCCCCGCCATTGACACCGAGATAAGGCCGCCGCCGAGTATGGATTACAGATATTGATTTCTGTTCAGTTTCCGACGTTCACCATAACTGGTTAGTCATTTTTTTTGTGTGCTGTTTGGTGTTTTCATTTTCTTTCCTTGTTTTCTGATTGCGACGAGAGTGTACACTACAGATATCACCGACATCAAAAGGGTAGCCTATCCATCGTTAAATACTTATACGTACACTGATAGAATTAACGAAAATATTTAATAATATAATAATTATCAAATATTTTCTTCTGGTGTTGTTTCTTTTTACTGTCGCGCTGAATACTATATCGCGTGTGTGGTGCTCGCTGTCAATATATACACACACACATATATATTTATATATATAAATCTCGTGTGTCCTACCATTTGGATACGTATATCTTTTGAATTAAAAATTATTTAAACAAATTATCAATGATGATGATAAGGTGACAGATTTTCCTATCCTTCTTTAAAAAGAACGTTTAAAATAAAATATTTATTGTTTAATCAAAATTCCTTGTATTACAGTTATAAATATCGAACTTTATAGTATATGTTTAATATATAGTCGAAGTACTCAATCTTATTTATTAATTATATTCAATTTTGCAGCATGTAGCTTTAGTAAAAAAAGAGAGCACGTTGCTAAATATTGTAAACTACAGAAACAGCAAACAGAAAAATGCTGCAAATCATTAATTTATAATATGCAGCATTTTTCTGTAATATATATTTTTTTTAATAAACATTTTAAAAATAACAACTTTTTTGTTTTTTATATTTATTATTTTATTATTAATTCTCAGGTGTATTATAAAGTAATCATATTGGATAAACATAGGCTGCATGAGTTTAGTACTTAAAATATACATCAGTAAACACATATCATTTGTGATCAGCAAATCATAAAAATTCAAAGTAGAGTTAAATTTTACATTTATGTATACTTTAAGATAATTTAGGAATTTAAAAATATCATACTTTAAACTTGGTCACTACAAATTCTGAAATAAATTTTAATTCAATGTAAGAAAAGAAATTCTCTATTTAGTGGTGTGTCATTACTACAACTTATTTCAATAGTTGTTATTCAATAATGGTTAATATGTGAATTTTTATTATTATTTCTTGGACTCTAACTAGTTTCATAAAAATTTTTACTACCTAAAGTTTTATTTTGAATTTAATACTTCAAAACTAATCTTTAACTTGATATCAATGATAGCAATAAAATTAAGTTATAAGATATACAATTTCATTTAATATCTACATTCATATTAATTTTTATATAATTAAGGAATTGTACCACTTTTGCTTTATTTCCTATGTATTTTAGTATGATTAATTTTATTGACTATTGTGATTGGAAGACATCAAAGAAATTTTAAATCTTCTAATGAACTTAGATTTTTAATCTCAATTGAGCCTATACATTTTTTTTTTTGAGGTACCACTGGAGCAATCTATCTTAAAAGAACTTAAAATTATTCCCCATGTACAAAAGTGAAACCCAACCCAAACCTCTATAGCATGTTAAGTTTCAGAAATATAAGAATGATTTAACTGATCATTATTTTTATACAGGTATTTAATTTTATTAAAATGGATTACTTTGAAAATAGATTCTCAGCATACCTTAGAATCACTAATCAATTAAAACACAATATTAATATATTATTAAAATTTAAAAATCTAAATTTAAAAGGGATTTAAGGAAAGCAAATGAATATATTATACCACTAGATAATATATTTTAATATATTATACTGTGAAAAATTAATTGGTACATGAGATTATGAATTAAGCCTTTAATTAATATATAAAATTCAACCTAATTAAATTAGAGTATAATATAAACTACCTATCAGTGTATTGTTTTTCAAGAGCAATTCATTAATAATAAACAAAACTTAATCATGTTAATTTTAGACTAACTTACTTCTACTTATTGACAAATTTATAATTTCTTGATTTTAGAAAACTAATAATATTTCTGAAGCGGCTCATAAAAGGTTACAAGCTCAATTGAGTATGACAAATCCAGCTATTTGGAAATTTATAATAGAGTTGAAAAAAGTTCAGACCGAACACGTAACATTTATTATGAATTTCTTGTTGTTGGTAATGAGCCACCTTCTACTAAAAGAGTTTACGTAGAAGCCCGTAATAGAATATTGTACCTGGTTCAAGATTACCGCCGCAGAACGACAATGGACTATTTAAGAAGCTTAATTTAATTTAAGAAACAATTTTGTGATTGATCATTAAAATAAATTTAGTATTCAACGTTTTTATTAATTTTTCAAAATTTCCACTTCATCAAAACTAATAACAAAATGAGAGTAATCGTTAACTGCGAAACTTAGAAAGTATATTAATAATTATGTGAAAATAGGTACTCACACATTACAAAATTAGTAAAAATCTGGAATCCTGACTGATTTATTGGACAAAAATGAAGTACAGATGTTTTTAATAAACCATCTTAAACAAACTCATATACAACAAGTCAAATAGATAATCGTCCGCCGTTTCTTGCCGTGAGAATACTCCAGAACTTTGAGAAACATCATTTTATAGAATGCCAAGCGCCCTACCAACGCGAGCTGAAAAAACGCCTCTCGTTTGCGATTGGTTGCGCACTAAATTATCATTGTTTATATGCTAGTAGGTGGAGCCATTTACTTTGTTCAATAGCAAGTACAAAATACATTCACAAATTAATTACAATAAAAGTAAGTTATTATTAATAAACAACAAGATATAAATTAAAAAAAAAAAACAACTATACAACAGCTATAGAATATATTTNAATTTTCTTTTTTCATAATAAAGTACATTACATTAGCTTTAATTTAAAATATATATAAAAGTGTCAGACTTTCTGCAACACTTTCAAAAGTTAAGTTGAAAAAGTTAATTTTTTGTGAAAAAGTTGTCATTTTAAATCCCCCCCTGTGGGCAGATAATATATTATATTTAAGAGTAGCATACATTTTACCATTACCCAAAACTCTTTTAATAGTTGGTGCCGAGTCAGATCATTTTGAATCCTGAATCATTTAAATTTTGACAAATAAACATTTATATAAATAATTTCAATATAACATAAAAGTAAATAAAACAAATTCAACTAACAATGATTTCCAGGATTTTTTGTTTATTTTTATTTGTAATAGATATGGAATCAGTAGAAGTTTCAATATGTTGCTTGTTCTAGTATCTAAATAATTAGTAATTTAAATATGATAAGTATCAAAAATTAAAATAATAATAACAACTAAATTTACAATAATTTAAAATAGATATTTGATATAGATAAACTACAGAGATTCACTTTAATTGCACTACATATGTCTCTGGTTAGATTACATTATTAACTTTAAAAATAAAGGTGCATACAATTCACAGCCTAGATAATTAATAATTATACAATATTTAACCTACATTGCCAATCATGTAAATAACTTTTTTTCTGATGATTTCATACAAAAATCTTCAAAAAATTTAAAACAAAAATTTAAATAATAAGTAGACACAACATATTGCTTCATTTTATAGTTTTAACCGTTATCATAATTAAAAATAAAAAGTAAAAAAAGTTGTTGACGAGTTGATAGAAATATGACCTAAATTTTAATTTTAATATTAAAACATGAATTGATTACTATATTACAAAAAAATGCATATAAACTAATATTATTACTAATATTTATCATTTTTTTGTTTCTTACTACATTATTACCTTTAATGACTACATAAAATAGGCTATGATTTAAAATGTTCAGACAAATTACGACCAGTAGTACTATTTAAACCTCAAATTTCAGCCTTTCTTCATAAGTTAATTTCCAGTGATTTTTAATCTCAACAAAGTTAAAAAAACAACTCAATTGGGCTTAAACCAAACTTTTGCTAATTCATCTTCATCCATTTTAATTTATATTAAATAAATTAATTAAATGGATGTATTAGCATGAATATAAAACATAAATTTTTGATAAAATTATTACCAGAAAATGTTAAAATTGGTAACGTTTCAGAGGTTCCAAAGCTGGCGTACAGCATTTTCCCAACGTTCCACTAATTTTCCTTTTGCATGTAATTATTTTGACTTAATGGTATGAATTATACTTTCTAAGAGAAAAAAATAGTAATATTAATGTTCAAAAGCATGTATAATCCTGTTTTTTTTATTAATATATATTATTCATTTTTTAAAATTTAAATTTAAATAATATCCATCAATAAATAAAATAATGATAAAGTAACATTTATTAAAAACTTTAATATACAATTTTTTTTTAATTTTGAAAAAAATTGTTAAATTTATAAATATTATAATCTGTTTATATTTAAAATAGATTGGTTATTAAAAGGGTAGGTAATTCAAATATTAAATAGATACAATAACCTGTTTTTTTAATATTTATTTTAATCTATGTTTTATAGCATGTCCAGTGTATCCAAAGTCTGATCACAGTGAGATACCATAACTATTTTTTAAAAAGTTTTCTAGTTTGAAAAAATAATTCAATTATCAAATTTATTGATGGGTATTTGAAAAATTTATTATTATTATTAATGGAATGACATAATTTTTTGAAAAAAATATAAATTAATATAATAGTTTTCAGCTTATATCCTACCTCTTGTTCTTTTAGATATATTTTAATAATAATTGAAAGAATTTTCCAAAAATAAAAATAAATTCCCCTAAAACAAATATTTAATATAACATAAGTTTAATAAACAAAAATATTAAAATTAGTATAAAACTAATGGTCAATGATTAATTTATTTAGGAACTACAAGTTTTCATGCACATAAACTATTTTAACTTGCACCCCTACTTTTTTAATTTATAATCAATATTTAAAATAACATAGTGTATATTACCGAACTTAGTCTTGAAATAAATTATTTATTAAAAGTTTTGTAAGTGTATTTTGAGCATCATCAGATAAATTTTCATGGTTTACTTTTGTATCAGTCAAAATAAAACGAACAAATTTAGTTGAATGCAGCAAACTCATAATAGACTAAAAGTGATACATATTATTTTATAATTTGTCATATTTAAAAAATAAAATTTTATTAGTATAATAAAGTTAGTATTGATTTTCATGACTGAAGTAAAACTGCTGTATTACCATATTTTAAAAATTATAATACTTATATGATTACATCCCAAATTAACAAAGCAAACAAAATAGAAAACCATTAACTACAATTAGACCAATTATTATTGAGATGATAAATATTTTTGCAATTTAATGTGTTATTAATTAGAAAGTATTGACTGTCATTTAAGTCCAATTAATAATCATGAAATTAAATCTGGCAAAATGCAATACTAGGATTCTGAAACTAAAACAATGATGACGTTGAAAAATGTGTCTTAAGAAAGGGTAAATATTGTTGACAATAAGCTAAACAAGATTCTTGAGAGATGTGAGAAGTTAGAAGATAATGTTCACGAACTTGGTAGGAGTGGATGCACGACTAACTCCTATTTTTTTTTAAATTTTCAGCGTTTATTCTTAATGCTATAACTAGATTAAAGCAATTTTTTTATGACCTTCCCGTTTTTATGGCTATTTAAATGTAAAAAATGTTACAAAGGGTTTACGTGAAATACAATTATATCGTCTAAAACAGGGGTGACCAACGCGCGTCCAGCAAGATTTATCAAACATTTACAAAAAAAATTATTTTTGTAGCAATAAGTTATTTTGGGATGCCCGCTAGTGATGGGTTGGTAGGCCAGTTCCTTAGGTCCTTGTTTTTGTGTTTTAATTTTGTTGGTAAATTATTTTGCCAACCCTCCCTAGCGGTTCCCACTCTGGGGATCCGGTTAATGGGAAGAGATCACACCAAGTTGCGAATCAGCTCTTGATTAATTTCGGGATGATTCACAACGTGATGGTGTGAATTATTAAGACGGCGTGGGCCGCCCTTAAGTCGGTTGATGAAAAAAAAGATTTTCCATCCCCTTCCTTGTCAAATACATTTGACTGCCAATGGTTTTGTTTATGTAGAAAAGACCAAGGCCTACTCTGAGTCAAGAACGATAATACGACAACTGTAAGAGTCTCGTCTTGATCTTGTTTGCTCATTATTACTGTCCAAAATTTGCTAAAAAGGTATGAAAAAATTATGTACTTGGTTATTAAAACTGCACCAGAGAGACAAAAATAATATCTAACTTTATGGCATTATTCATGACATCTGAAGTTAACACTCAAAATGGTACCGCATACAATAATTTTTTTTAGCTTCGATGTGAAGCTAAGAAGGTATTAATTTTACCATGATGTGTTTATTTTTATGTCTATTGCCACTTTTTCTCAGTTCTTACTGGACCGATATTGATTAACAATATATCAAAAGATTCCAAATCGTATCTAGTTGAAGATATTACCCTTAAAAATTTTAAAAATTTCCCTCCTTCCCCGTAAATGGAGAAATTTCCAAAAAAATTATAATTTTTAAAATCGGTAAATTTCATCATTTTTTTCACTTTTTTTTCTTAAAACTACCATAACTTTTTTAAATACTAACCCAACCCAACCGCCAACCCAAATGTTCCGGAAATACTGCGTCCTTTAAACATATATAAAATTAAAGCTTATTTTATATACTATAAAATGAAAAAAAAAAAAAATTTGTCCCGACACCTTATCTTCGTTGTGCAAAGCGCTGCCGTAGTTAAAAAAAAATGCTATTTTAGTGTTAAAACAAGAATAGTGGGGTCGGGAACAAGTGATAACGGAAAAAAGTTCAACCCCATCGAGCAAAGTAAACCCAACAAATTTAAACCTCCATGTGATCCAGCAGAGACTGCAAAAGCAAAAACGAATCGGGAATAGATAGATTCGAAGGGAAAGTCGTTTCGGAAGGGTAGTAGGATTGGTAGCAAGTCGTTTGCAGAGATATCACTGCATTGGCCTTATTAAAGGCCCATAGGTGTTCGTTTTTTTTTAATTTAACACTATTATAGATAATTTTTGTTAGTGAATTTAATTTTTTTTTTAGTGATATATAATATTTAAAATAATTCCTATATATATATATAATTTTGAGTAGTTAAATATATAAATAATGAACATACAACTGTAATACATTGTGGATAATGACGGTCACGGTTCTTATCCAATATGGATAAGTACTGATGAAAAGGATGATGTGCAACACAATAAGCAATCCACCACCACAATAGAACCAACATTTAAATCCCACTAGCAAAAATTATAATCATGAAAAGTAACAAAGCCAATAATACACAATAAAAAAAAAAAATAAACGACATTGTCAATTAATATATATACATATATGTAAGTAATGTTTATAATATAAAATTAAAGTACAATAAATCACTGCACTATTAAAAATAAAAAAGAAAAGGGACCATTGCCCTCTCAACAATGGTGGCGCCCGGAAATTACTAGACTAGGGCCAAGTGCAACTAAAGGGAACGTTGCACGTTTAAACTCTTATATCGATCCCCATAGTCAAGCGGAGGCCGTATATTTGGTCAGAGTATCCGGTCGGGAAATAATCGACACGATCACTCGTCCCAAGTTAGGTCGCATCTAGCCAGTGTTGCCAGATAGAGGGAAAATATGGGACCGTAATCAATTGGAGGGAAAAAGGGAAGAAATTTTAAAATTGTACTAAAAAAGGGAAACTTAGGAATTTCAGTTAATAATCGATATTTTTACTTTTATAACAAAAATTATTTAAAAGTATACATNATTTATAAAAAAAATTATTTAAAAGTATACATGTTATTTTTTCACAAAAAAATAATCAATTTTTATATATAATTTTTTATATAGATAAATTAATTTGTATGATAACAAATCCTATTGATAATACTATCTAAGAATATCACAATCGGTCCTTGGATCGTTCCTTTTAGTTTCTTCTTTAAATGAGGTGATTCAAATATTATTTTTAAATGTATATATTAGTTGTTACTTTTACTTTTACTTAAAAGTCAAAATGTTCTTGATTCAGTAACATTAAGTTTCCTTTGGTTTTATTATTTATGTAATCTGTTATTTATTTAATGTTATATTGATTGTTTGAAATACTCTATTGTGTCTGCATTATGATTTTAAACTAGTAAATTGAAGTTATTACCTACTTTGTTGTTTTTTTGTTTATTTTATATAAGTAAGAGGAGTGAGGACTGTAGTCTTCAGTCTACCTATTTTTAAATTTTTTATTACTTTGAATATTTACATTCAGAGAGGCTATAATGGTATAATATGCAAAAAGTAGAGATTTATTTGAAAAACGTATTTTGAAACGATATGTGAATGAATTCTATAACATATTTTGTTTTTAAATGCTATTAATTATGGGAATGACAATTGATAAAATCAATATTATTTGAGGATTTCATATTAAAGGTCAAAATACAATAGTCAATATACAAAATTGAATTTACATTTATTTGAAATAAAAAATATAAGGATGGAATTTTTTTTAAAACCCGGGAAATTTTACAAGTTTGAGAGGGAATTAAGCTTATTTTGGTCTGGCAACACTGCATCTAGCGGAATAAATATGATTAGATGTGTAATTTTGTCGCTATCCAATAAAGACGTTAGGTGCATTTAATCTATACCCGCTTTTTTTATTAATATTACATTATCGAATGTTGGTAATTTTCGTAGAAAAAAAAAGAAATGTACACAGTTTCATAGCATAATGCACGCCACTCTATACAACAGATTCCGTTATATTAAAACCGAATTTAATATTTAATATGTATACATACACACATACACACACACAAATATATATCCTATTTATTATAATATTCGAAATGACTAAACTCACTTCGAAGGACGAAGCGACGTCAAGGGCTCGTTCGTTTGGAACTCCGACGTCGGCGGCAAACTACACACGACGGGTGAGAAAAATAATAGGATATATGTCAACTTTACCAGGCACCCTTTTTTTCAAAATTTTTTTTAAATGTAATTTTTCTGTGTATTAAGTTTTCTTTTCGTGTTATTTTATTGAACTAACTACAAAGACACACCAAATCACACCACATCGTGGTCATTTTTTTTTTTTTTGCTCAACTTAAATTAATTGGGTTTCATGTAATTACGTAATCACTCATACCCATTTTTTGTATTGTATACGAAAATTATTAACTAATAGCTCTATGAAAAACTCATTTTTTTTTGTATTGCGAATTTTGGGGGGAAAAAAATTGGAAAATTCTAATTTTTTCCAAATTATTTTTGGTTTTTTTGAAAGAGAAAATTACTTAAGAGTTATGTCATTGTAGTTTCACAATATTTTCATGAAAAAAAAAACGAAAATTATCAAAAAAACAATTTTGGAGCTATTTTTAGTCTTATGACGTATAAACTTAAAAATGCTATAACTTTTGAACCAAAAGTTTCCGCCAATTTTTTCAAACACTTTTGAAAATAGCATAAAAAGAACGTTTTGAAAAAAAAAGGGTGCCCGGTAAAGTAGACTTGTTCCAAAATAAGAATCAAGTCTTTATTTCCGTCGTATTTAAAAGCGATTGAATTATTTTACTGACGTCGTCCAACCCGACGTCGACGAATTCGAGTGATGGTACGACGGAAGCCCCGACCACTTCTTCAACCTGCACATTAACAAAAAACAATATTATTTTAATTATGCTAGTTTACAAATAAAACAAAATTTTCTGACCTATG